TCCCCTGAATCGGGCCAAATCCAAATCGAATACTGCCCACTTCGCACACCCCTAATATTTTTTTAAATTATACTAAACCTTTTAAAATATATTCACATATGTGTATTTGTCCTTCTGATACCAAAAATTATTTCCTCTCTTGTAAAAAATTTGGGGGGCATGACATACATTTTAGTCTCTAATGAAGATAAATTGAAAGGCCTAACAGGTTGACAGTATCTTTTTAACACTGATAATGGAAATAAGGAAGTAATTTCAGTTAAGGCTATGATTACTGAAAGCTGCCATTTATAAAGTTCTTCCGGAATCATTTATGATTTCACTTTCAACCAATTTAAACCACTAGACCTGTGGTGGATGGATGTGATATATTCACATACACAAAGAGATAAAAGAGACCATTCTGGAGAACTGACAGAATGATTCAGCAATGAGAGGTGATCAGGAAAACAATTCTTCCTGACCTAAAATGAAACATGAGCACACTCTCAATGCAGTAGCATTTATGCTCACCTTTTTTACAACATAATGAAGCATTACAAGATCATAAGGTGATTTATTGCCATACAAACATTTACAGGGTAGGCACCAATGGCTGCCTACACACTTATAAAGGAATGTAATAATATTTTTATACCATTAATCCATTAGTATTATCCTATAAACTCTTGCAACCTACTTTAGTATTACATAGATATGAAAACAATTCAGAGAAGCAACAGAAAATGACTGGATGAACTATGTATGTTGGTAAATTGTCCTCGATCAAATTTCTGCATATTGTATGCAATAATTATTGTTCTGCAGGATGCAGAAGCAAAAGTTATGAGCTATTGCCACAAGTAAAAGAACCACAGTTTACAGTGTCTCTACTCTTCTGCCCATAAAAAGTAAATAACCTTTCCTCCTTCCCATGAACTAGACTCAAGAAGGACTCAAAAGCTAACTGAGGACAAAAAGAATTCTCTCCTGCATTGTGCATTAATGTTGGTCTCAACAAAAACTGTAAACAACTTTAGAAGTGTATAATTTTTCATTTTAAATACTATCCAGTTACTGACTTCTTTACCCATAAAATGCTCAGATTTTCTTCTCTCTGACAATATAATTACTATTTTGTAACTGTGGTATCAAATTTTAGCTGCTTCATTTTGCAATGTTACAACATATTAAATGTTGCTCATAGACTATCCAGTACCATCTTTTGAAAAGTGTATGTTTATGTTGCATCACCTCAATATCTCCATACTAATTTATACCATTTGAGAATGTGATTCAGAGCCTGTAGTTTGCCTTTATATCACCTTTCCTCCACCAATGATTCCAGATTTTCACATGGCTTATCCGAGGCACAATGCCAGTCATCTTGCTTCAAGCAAAAAACAGATGCCACCAGTAAGAGCTGATTTTCACATAACAAAAAACCAGCAAGTCCTACCATTCAGCTTAATGAAGAAGTAAACTTTTCCTATGAATTCAGCAATGCTATTATCTTTGGAAATGAGAGGAGGCACATGCAGGCTTTGGGTAAATGTGTAAGAAAAGAAAAGACAACTATAGCTTATGAAGAAAGAAGGATAGATGTCAAGCTGCAGAGAAGTTATAAATGCAGCTCTTCAAGGATCATCAATGATTGTGTTAAGAATGTTTGTTGATGACACAGAAGTTGAGAAGCATCATCATCAACAAAGAGAAGGGTTAATATCACCTATGGAAAAGTCAATGACCTTGAGGACTGGTGTGATAGAAGAGGGATGGAATATAATAGAAC